ATCTTTTAACCATCTTCAAAATGTGGTTGTCTTTCCAACATAGATTAGCCTAGCATGTAGCATATCTACGTACAGGAAAGGAGGAAGTTGACTCAACTGTTGTTGGAGCACAGCGGTGAAAAGGAACGGGACTTAGGAAGGGTCACTTAGCATTAGTACGCTAAAAACGTTAACAAACTGTAACAAAACATCAGCTAGCTAGCTTCCTAACATATGCTTTCAGGTGCATCAGTGGGAACTGTAAATAATTTAAATAGTTTGGACCGGCTCTATTTGAAAGGTTTAATGAATAGATACTAACTCACTAACTATTGTAGACCTGCTGGTGCTAGCATTTTGCCAACCTAGTAGGTTTGGCTAACTAAAAACCTTTAGCTATAAAACAACATACATTTAATTTCTATTAAAACTTTTAGAAAAAACATTTAACAACAAACTTGATCATCAGAAAATGAAGTTAATTTAGTTAAGGTGTTGTCACAGTTAAGCTAATTTACTGTTAGTGACGTTATAGATCTATCATAACGTTAAAGGAACTAAATCATCGCATTAACATACAAACAAATAAAGTGTAGCTTGAAAACACGAGAGACATTAGCTAAATAACAACATACCATAATACAGTCTCTCATAGTTTCCTGCTTCATTGATAATAAAGAATATCGTATGGAAAATGTCGGCTTAATTTTCAGCTGTGAGGTGAATATTTTTATTAAAGTGTAAGAATGAAACAATATACAGGAAACAAAGTGACACCTGTCTGCTGTCAGGTAACAACTAATCATATTAAAGCAGCTTGTCTCTGCTGCTTCGAAGTGGTTAAAAAACTGATATTGCAGGTTTAAGGAGGAAGGAGGTCGACTGGTGCTCTCAGTTAATTAGAGGACTTGAGGAAGAGAGACTTGGCGAAGGAGGGCTGTGAAGTATTTCTGGAGGATTTTCAAGCTTTAGGCAGAAGATGGGCGCTGACTGTGCCGCTCTGACTGCCCTCCAACCTTTATAAAAAGCCAGACTCTGATGGAACAGAAGGCGCTCGGCGTTAGGAGCTCCTACTGAAGATGGAAGAGAGTCTGCAGCTCAGGAGGTTGAGCTCGGCTCTCACACCACCCGGGTCAGAGGATCACTTCCCCCCCGCAGCTATAAACAGTGAAATGTATGAAGAGAAGCTGCTGTGCTGCTTTGGATGGAAGTTTATCAGAACGCAGCTTCACCGCGGGGCCCTCATCGCCTGTGAATGTAGCAAGAATGAAATATAAACTGTATTAACTGTGTAAACTGTAAACCCAGCAGGGTAGCGCAGGGTTTACAACACTTATAAATCCCCTCTGATGCACATCGTTCAGGGAGTTCAGCTGTCGAATGAGGAATAATTCAATCAAAAGGCATTTTTATGTAGCTGTCTCACCTGTCTGTGGGCCAGTACTGACGTTATATTGTTTATTTATTATTTATTTATTTATTTATTTTATTTTATTGTGTTTAACAATTTATGCCAAAAAATTCACAAAAATTTAATTTCTTTGTACTTTTATATAAAATCCAATCATTGTGTCTCTCCTGAGTAAACAGCAGAACTAAATGTTTAGATCACATCCTCAGTTATATGTTATATTATTTACTTATTTACTTTATTTCATTTTTTACCAATAAAATCCAAAACATTCACCCATCAATCAATCTTCTTTGTAACTTTATACCAAACAATCAGAGTGAAGATTCATTAGTTAGTTAGCTAACAGCATGGCTACCTAGCAGAGCTCACTGATTACTGTACAAACACAGCTTTATCAGAGATTATATCAGATATCAGATTTTATGGAGAGAATATTGTCTGGTTTTCCCTCTGACGTCCTCCGCTAACTGCTAATGTACTGCAACTGAACGGGGCTCAGCAGCCTCCCAGTGAACGCAACCTCTGAGACAGACAGACAGACAGCGGTACCGAGGTGATTTATGGAGTTTCCAGATGGACTTGTTGCTAAAAGAAGCTAACTGTCGCTAACGGTAATGTTAGAGTTCAACATCTTCTGTCCTCAGACCCTGGACCTCAGTCCCGATAAACCGGAACCACCAACTGTAAGCCAGACCAGGTTCCAGTATGTGAGGGAGCTGGGAAGCGTCCCCCTCAATACGGTGACACACTAATGCACATTGACTGAGTTTAGTTCAACTAAAACAGGAAGTTCATTCTCTGTCATGTTGTGCTTTTATTCTGAAACTCTACCAATCAGGGCGTGTTCTCACAGGACTCAGTGTCAGTAAACCTCGTTAGGCTGAACCAAGCAATCAGGAGCAGAGGAGTGTTTTTCTCCAGTTTATTATCTGATTCACAGTTAAAATGTGTTTAAGGTTTCTTCACTGTGGTTGGTGGAGGCCACAGGTGTAGATGTCAGGAGGGGAAAAGGGAGGGGTTATCTCCTCACCTGCTGCCTCTGTGGTGAGAATTAACCCCCGATAAAACCCTGCTCATTTCTTCATTACACTATATGTGTGAGTGTCTACATACTTTTGGCTGTATAGTAAACACTGTTTTCCTCAGACTCTGAAACACGGGAGATTAAACACTTCATTATTCACACTTTATGAAAAAGTTGCTCTCATAGTTTTTACACATTTTCAGCTTTTGAGGTCCTTTAATTAAAGATAAGCTTTACTTTGTGAGACAGAAGCACGTTCAGACACAATAAACCAAAGAACTGTGCTGTTTTTCACAGCTGCAAGCAAACAGTCTGTGAAATACATCCCAAATTTATTCAGTCCAAATAAACCCTTCTATGTATCGCTTTAGAGAATACTTCTGCCGAAGGTTCATTTTATTCACTTCAAACACACGCAGCCTTTTTTCTTTGAACCTCGCTGCCCACCGTCAGGCTGAATCCTAAAAAGCCGCGACGTGAGTCAGGAATCCCAGACTCAGAAGAAGCTGAACAAACTACGTTTTATGGACCGTTTCACATCTGAAACAACCGAGTCGAGGGCAAAGACAACATGACTGAACTCTGCAGCTCGCCTCTAATCTCCCTGAGTCACACAGATCAAGGACTCCACGATTCTCCACCTTTCTACGTCTGAAGTTGGCTACCTGGAGTCTGATAAACCCTGCAGAGATGGTCAGTGAAGTTTTGATAAGTAAGCAGGTGAGCGAGCATGGGAAAGTTCAAACCTTAAGTATCCCACGACCTTAAACACAACCCTGTAAGGTGGAAGCAAACATGGCTGCGAGGGCAGGTAGAGAGCGCTCCATTCGTCTAAATATAAACGGCGCGCTGCGATATCCGCCAGCTTGTCACATAAATCAAGGCTCACTTCCTGTTTCCAGTAGGGGGCGCTATGAGTGTGACTGAATATTGGTACGTAGATGTGTTCAGGGCGAGACTCTTATCAGACGTGAAGTTTCATTAAGTTTGGACAAAGTAGTTATGGCAACTTCCTGTATCGTCCGAATTCGACACCACGAACACGCCGTTTGACGTACCATCACTTGAAAAATTGAAATCGTGCTTCGGGGGATAAATGTAACCATTAACGGCCGATACGTGGATCTTTTCTGTGGCGTCGTTCAGGTTCCTGTTTACGACTCGGGCCGCCGTCTTTGTCCATTACAAGCCTGAATCTCTTCACAGAAAGGCCATTCAAAGTGCGAAAGATTAAACTTTAAATCTTTAAAAAAAGATTAAAGAAAATGAACACAAGAAACAAAATAAACAAAGAAAAGTATGAAAATGACACGTAAACACAACTTTAAGAAAACATGAACTACACTAAAATAAGTTTAAAACCTCTTTGAGTATTTCTGATTCTGATTAGCTAACTCAAGATGTGACTATATATATGGATATTTTTATTACGCTGCGGCACAGACACGAGCATTTCTAGCCTAATCCCCAACTTTTAATTTTTTTTTTTTTTAATTTTTTTTTTTTTTTTAAACCAAAACCTGCCTCAAAATTATTATAAACTTACACATTTAAAACAACAAAACAAAAATAGCACTGAATATATATGACTAAATTTATATATATATATATATATATATATATTCAGTGCTGTGATTCAGTTTGTTTGTTAAATGCTGATCAATGTGAAATTAGAGACACATTGTACAAAATCAGGAGACTTCATTCACTGTTTCTTTAATTACGCTGTTCTTTCTCTCTGGTTTTATGTGACACACGAACAAGATAAAGATTTTTCTCCCTGAAGCATCTAAAATAATTACAGTAATTAGAAATTATAATGTTGAGTTGCCTGTGGCGATTGTAATCTGAGAGAGGGAGGAAAAAAAATCACTCAACTCTACACTCACACAAATATTATTATTTCAACAGGAGGAGTCGAAGAGGACGTGAGCTGTGACTGCCCCCTGCTGGTTGGAAGAGGAACTGTAAGTAGGACTAATCTCCACTTATCCACCTTTTTCCAAATCTTTCAACCACATCTCCTCAGCAGAGTGAGGAAGACTGTTGACCTCTCTGATGAAGAATGTTTGTGCCTTTAATTCCTCCGTCTGACGCTCTGCAGCATTGATCACATGTCCTTAAACTCCCAATAACTCAGTGAGTGAACGTCTCTTACTTAGTGAATCTGAAGCTAAATTAATTTAACTGAAGGGTGGACGAAGTACTCAGATTTTTAAGTAATAACAGCACAGTACAGAAATACTCTGTTACATGTAAAAGTAAAGACTGTAGAATGTTTATTGATTTATTGATTTCTGTCAGGTTGTAAAGAGAAATACAACAATGCATCAACCTATCGTAGCTTTAAACCTGTAAATAAACTTTTATTATTAGAACTCTATTGATTATTATTATTTGTTATTTTGTTGGTGAAACTGGTGCTGCAGCCAGTGGTTCCCAACCTGGGGGTCAGGACCCCCATTAGGGGTCGCCACAGCTTCACAGGGTGGTTGCGAATCCTTCTTGGTTTTAAGGGCTGTTAATATTAATATGTTTTATAAACCAGCTGCTTTTAAATTGACCACGCGAGCATCACAAATGTTCAAATGAAGAAGTTTATTGGTGCGATCGTTTATTTACAAAAACTCTTCAAACCTCTGTACAGTAATGTTTTTCTATTTCAAAATGCAAAAGTATTTATACAATCTGTAAACATGAACAGAGTCCAGACAAGAACAAACAAACAAACAGAAACCTTGTGTGAAGGTGCCAACGTGCAAAAACCATTAAAACCATTAAAACCAGTAACAGATAATTAAAACTCTTCATGCAGAGTTTCATTAATACAGTTTGAACATAATAAAACAATAACAAACACACTGAAGCATAAATACACTGCGAGTCATTGTAAACAAATAAACAACAACAAAGAGAAATAACACTGAACCAGGCATTAAAATATTGAATATAATTTACATTATTGCTGTTTTATCTTTAGAATAAACTTATTAAAACATAAATGTCATTAAAGGAAAAGTCCACCTTTATAAACTAACACTGTAAAACCTGATGAGTTAATTCAACTCAAACTGAAACCGCCTCAAAGTTTATTAAAGATATTTAAGTACAATAACTCAAGTAATTATTGTTTAATTCAGTTAATTGACGTTAGACTCTCGTGTAGCTTTTCTCCAAACTTATTTAAAATGTGCTCACAGAAATTTTCTGAATAAGGTCACTTAAATTAATCTAATACAAATGTTGCCACTTAAATTGAGTTTACTCTGTTTATTTCCACTAAAGCAGATTATTACATTAACTAAACAGCTGAAGAACCATAAAAACAATGATTATAAAATAGTAGCCAATTAATTTTCTTTTAAGACTGAGATCCAATCTTTTCACTTTGGGGATCATTAAGAATTAATTGGATGCATAATTGGGATTATTATGATTAATAAACTGAAATATAAAAAGTAAAAAAGCTATCCAGTATTATAATTATATTGTTAATGATATAAAGTAAATTTAAAGAAAATATCACTAATACTTAAAATACTTAAGTTCGCTCAAAACAACTGAGCTGCTTCAACAATTAATGTGAATGAGTGATTTTCCTTTAGAGGATTAATTTATGTTCATTTATCTTTTTAATGTTAGACGTGTATCAGGTTTTACAGCGTACTGATATTAACATAATATCTTTAATCTTGTGTAGTTTTAAAAGATAACGTTGTATTTTGGACGTAATTCAAACGGTAAATAAAATATAAACATGAACGTTGTTGAAGAGGTCAAAGTTAAACACCAGCTGATCGATAACGAACTGATAAACACTGGACGAGGACGCAGAGGGATCAATTTAGAGAAAAAGGAACCAGAATGCATTGCAGCCACAGAGCAGGAAGTTCGATATCACGAGGCTCGAGTATCAGATGAACTCTGATATTCGAGCGCTGGCGTCCGAGGACCTGGAGCTCCTGGTCAGGTAGTCCCTGCAGAGGAGGTTCAGAGGTAAAGGACTCTGTTAGATACATATTTGCTAAAGGTTATCTGTAAGATTTAATAGCTATTCTCTATATACAGTCACATGGTGTCTCTCTCCCTCTGCCTGTGTTGTATCGCAGCCTCTCTGTGGTTTGTTTCCATAGCCGGTCTGCTCCGACTGAAACTGCTGTTTTTATCATCTACGTCGGTGAATCATGGTCAGGCCCCTTCATATCTTAAAGAGCTCATAGTACCCTATTACCCCACTAGAACACTACGTTCTCTGAATGCTGGGCTACTTGTGGTTCCTATAGTCTCTAAAAGTAGAACAGGAGCCAGAGCCTTCAGTTACCAAGCTCCTCTCCTGTGGAACCAGCTTCCAGTTGTGGTTCGGGAGGCAGACACCCTCTCCACATTCAAGAGTAGGCTTAAGACATTCCTCTTTGATAAAGCTTATAGTTAGGGCTGGATCAGGTGAGTCCTGAACCATCCCTTAGTTATGCTGCTATAGGCCTAGACTATCGGGGGGATTTCCCATGGTGCACTGAGCTCCTCTCTTCCTCTCTCTTTCTGCACTCATTCATGTTCCATTAATGCATGTTACTAACTCCACTTCTTCCCCGGAGTTCTTGTGCTTTCTCGTCTCGCAGGTTCTCATCGATCCTGGTGGAGCCTCCTGCCATGGTCCTGCTAGATTGCCATTGCCAATACTGTTGTTGCTGTGCACCTGTCTGTCTGTCTGTCTGTCTGTCTGTCTGTCTGTCTCTCTCTCTCTCTCTCTCTCTCTCTCTGTCTCTCTCTCTCTCTCTCTCTCTCACCCCAACTGGTCGAGACAGACGACCACCCACCTAGAGCCGAAGGATCTGTCCTAGGTTTCTGCCTTTTAACAGGCAGTTTTTCCTTGCCCTTGTCGCCAAGTGCTTGCTCATGGTGGTACTGTTGGGTCTCTGTAAATAATGTTTTAAAGAGTTCGGTCTAGACCTGCTCTATTTGAAAAGTGTCCTGAGATAACTTCTGTTATGAATTGGTGCTATACAAATAAAACTGAATTGAACTGAATTGAATTAAGGATTTATTTCCACCAAACCAGAGTTGCTGATTGTTGGAAACACTAAAAGGAACGGTTTAAAACAGTTTTGTTTGGTTTTCTTCCACTTTTATATGTGAGGTAAATTAAGTGTTTCTGTCTATGGAGGCTGGTGTTGAGTGATATCACAGCTGTTTGTGGTTAGTTGTATTTTTTGGTCCATAATGTTGAAGTTTTGTTTTTGTCACCATCAGTTTGTCCTGAAACATATTAATAGATGGACTTTAGTTTATTGCTGTGTTGAATTCCTTTAAACTAATAATAGAAATATAACAATTCAACTCCAACAGCACTTTTTAAGAAAGAAGTGAAGGGTGCTTTTAAGAGAAAGAAGATAAAAGTAAATTTTCAGCTTATAGACGACCATAAGACAGTAATATTGTGACAAATATCGAGAGATGAAGCAGTAAAATGAGACGACAGTGTGAGTAAAACAAAAAGCAAATGGGAGTAGGAGGAGAGCAGATCTATAAAAATGGATTTTGGGGGTAGATTTTAAAAAGGTAGACATAAAAGTGAAGTGAAAACTGTAGTAGTACAGTAATGTTACAGATAAAGCCGAGCAGGAGTGATGGATCTACCTGCACACCGTCACTCTGATGTGAGCAGCTGCCTGCGAGGACGGACATAAATCCTGGAAACTCTCGGCGGTGATGTAAAGTGCAGGTGATTTGTAGTAAATGGGCTACATCAGTTAAAAAGCCCGCTGTGGTTTCACTAATGGAGCCACAGCTCAAAGGCTCGTCAGGGTCGCAGATAACGAGCAGCCGAAAACCACGGGAACCAAGATTTTAAACCTCCTACAGCGGCTCAGGGGAAGAAAGGTCAGCGCAGAGCAGGAAACATGCATGTCGGTGCAGAGCGGAGTTATTTTAACCTTTAATCAGAGCAGAGGACGCTGACGGAGCTCAGACTGGAGCTTCAGATCATTTACAAACTCCATAAGATCCTTTCTCATCCTTCTTCTCTCTCGCTCTGCTCACCTCCAGACGGCAGAAAGACGCTTTGGGTTGGAAGCTTTGAGGATAGTTGAGTCTCATTTCCAGCGTCTGTATTTGCCAACCTGAGAATGAGACTCAACTGTCAACTATCTTTCTCTAATCTGATTGGTTGTTTTCATTCGGGCCCGGAGGATTCTTGTGGAGCACCAGGAGGAACCAGAGGAACCAGAGGAACCAGATTATTGTTTCTGGAACATTTTTGCCTTTTCAGTTTAAAATCTGGCTGATCATTTATGAGCGTTCAAGGTTTGGTGTAACATCCCATGTGTGAGAGCAGAGACTCTACGACAGCAGAGAATAAAAGCAGCAGCAGCTCCTGTCGCTGCACCGCTGACCCACAAAACCGAACATCCACATTCTCTGCATCTTCGTCTGTCTTCTCCTCCGCAGCCTCGCTCTCTTCCTCATCTTCCTCCTCGCCCTCCGTCTCGTCCTCCTCTTCCCGCTCCGCCCTCGTCCTCGGGGGGAGGAGTCACCTGGATGAGCTGCTGATCGGAGACCTGACGAGAGAGGAAACTGTGTTTTTAAGATGTTTCTTTGTTAAACTGCAGAAGGTTTACGATGTTAACGGAGCTGAACCCTAAAAGTCGGCTGGTTCCCGACCGTCCTACCACTGAGTAAACTGAATGATTTTATGGATATTTCATATTAAATTCAACACTAACAGCTGATAAACTGTTCAATGAACCAAACAGTGGACTCAATAACTGCAGGAAGTTTGATCATTTCCTGTAAATATTAATCAGAGATCAGTTTTCCTGATTTCTCTGTCTGTATTATGTATTTTTTAACAATCATACAGACTTAATATGCTTCTTTGTCTCTTTGTTCTATCGCTAAGCTGTTGATCAGAGACTGAAGCTCTGTCAGTGTAGTTTGTGTTCAGCTTATACATCATAAAGAATAAGGGAAACTTGAAAATGTTTTAAAGTTTTCTTCACAGAAGTGAACCGAATTCTGAATTATCTGCTTACTGTGTATATTTTTAGAATTTTTCTTACACCCTTTAAAATCAAGAAGGCCTCACGACCCCCTGTGAAGCTTTGTGGGGGGGAACTACTGCTAGTCGATACGCTGCGTTCCCACCAGAGGTGAAGAAAATTATTTGCGATACAAAGTCAATACAAAGACGCATATAAACACAAATTGGGCGCCGCAGACGGGTTGAAAATATTGAACTTTGAGTAAAAAACGTGCGCCTATCGGAGGGTTTTTTTGTGCTGTGTGGGGAGGAGCTGCTGTGGCCCACAGACACAAAATAAAACACTCTGCTCTACGGTTTAGGGTTTATATGGCGAATACAGATATTTTTGGTTCAAAGACAGAGTTCAAGAGCCCGACGCATCAGAGCCGAAACTGCTGCTGTCAAATATGCAAAAACAACCATACACCAGCTTCTGACACATTTCAGCTGATATCCTACTGAGACTGACCGGTGGCGGGGCGGCGGTCTGGATTCGTCCCTCCAGGATGTTGTCGGTGGTGACCTCGAGGGATCGGGTGATCTCCAGGTCCTGCAGGATCGACTGGAGGGGAACCTGAGGAAACATCTCCTTGATCTGCAGAGCCTGAGACACACAGACACACCTGGAGTCAGTGAGCCGCGTTTATAAAACAATCAGATCAAGTTTGACCTAACTTTGACGTGGAAAAGATCTCTGAGTAAAGTTTAAACTATACGTCAGTGATTTTCCTGCTGGTTGTTTCGGGGTACTGCAGTCTGGTCTGTAAACTCACCATGGTGTTGATCTGAGATGGGTTGATGGCTGCGACGCCCAGAAAGTTGGTGGTGGCCATAACTTCCACTGAGAAACTGGGCAACCAGCTGGCAATACGAGAACCCGCGAACACAAGGTCAAAGGTCAGACACAACTTTTCTATCCCTGGACAGAAACCGATGGAGGACAGGATTCAAAAAGGTCAATGTGGACGAGTACAGCACTGGTTTACTGTCTCACCGTCAAAGTGGAAGAAGTGGTGGAGCTGGTTGAGGTGCGGCCGAGCGTCGACTTCGGAGCCGGCAGCCATGTTGTCAGCAGCCGCCTCCCTCGTCTCACGTGTCTCACCTCCTTCTCCGATGTTCAGGGACATCCGACATGTCGGACATGAAGTGTCCTGTTCGAGCCAGGAGCGCAGACACGAACTGAGGACACACAAACACTCAGCGATCAACAATCTACGTTATCTATCTCGCAAATTCTCCCCCAGGGATCAATAAAGTTCTTCAGATATTCGCTTATTAACTTTAAACTTTCAGCTTTTTACTAAATGTTACAACTCAGACATGAAAACTGATTTACTTCATTTACTTTACTGTATCTCATTACTTTAATGATTCCCAAGTCACATTTTATTGTTCCGTTATTTAATCTCGTAACTGTTTCCCTTAGGTGTTTATTTATTCATTAGTCTAACTCTTTATTATTATGTTTCTCAAGTGCATTTAGCTCTAACTGTAATTACCACGTTACCCACAGTTGTCTTCTGCCCCCCCGTACCTGTGGAAGAGGTGACCACAGGGCAGTTTCTGAGCCGAACTCATCACATCCCGTCGTTATTGTCTGCGAGCTCTTCTGCGGACGCCACAGAAAACCTGGAAAGACGAAACACAGATATTCGTTTAAAATAATTTATTAATCTGACCTCATTGTAAAAAAAACGTTTTCACAGCAGCTATTTTGTCATAATATTATTTTATAGTTGGGTAAACAGATGTTTCATACAGATTATTATACGGATCGACCCTCGCTGAATGAGGAAACGAAGCTGCATGAAGGTCACGAGACTCGCCATGGACAACCAGATGTTACTGAAGACCTGAGAGAGACCGGGAGAACGACATTTACAAACCGTATCAATGAAACTGATTTTTATTTATTCACATATTTGCACATTAAATCTGAAGAAACGTTCTCCGACCTTCCAGAAGACTCTCAGTGTCGGTTCGCGTTGTAATTTCACAGCCAGTTAAAGTCTCATTAAACAAATGTTGTCTGTGCGGTGAGAAGTCATATTGATGAGGACTTTAATTGAAACTGTGATCGGTTGGTTCGCTCCGAAATCTGTGATCACATTTTATTTTATAGAATAATTTAAAGGTGAAAGCTAGTTTACATTAATTGTTAGCTAGTTAGTTAGCTAACGGGTGACAATATGTCAGTAACGCTCGCTAACTAGGTAGCTAATAATCTATCGCCAGTAAGCTCGTTAAAATCTCTCATAAGGTGTGAGATAATAAGTTAAATTGTGAGATAATAAGTTAAATTGTGAGATAATAAGTTAAATTGTGAGATAATAAGTTAAATTGTGAGATAATAAGGGTTAGGGTTAGGGTCATATCGGCCCTGAACAGGAAGTGTGGAAACGTCCTCACGGTCACCAACATACACTGAAACACAGACAGAAGGTCAGCACACAGGAAACTTTATTCAGCGACATCAATGCAGCGAACTCTCTGCGGCTGTAGACAGAGATCAGAATAAGGAAACACCTGGTGACAGTTTACAGACGTTTTTGATTATAAATGAGAAGAAGAAGAAAAAGTAATTCCCAGCGGGAGATTAAACTTCAGTCAAGAAATCTCCACGACTGATCTTCACACTTTTAAAGTCTTAAAGGGACAGTTTGTGTTTTGAAGTGGGGTTGTATGAGGTATGTCCAGTAGACGGCGGTCAGCACTTCTGTCACCTGTGAGCTAAAATGACTGTTTTTGTTAATGGAGTCTGGTGGCTTTGAAGAGGGAACAGAGATCAACAGAAACGCTTCAATTCTGGAGCCTCATTTATAAAAATGTTCTTTTCTTTATACCTGATTATATATATTATATATGACAGTGAGTGAACTGAGCTTTATAGTGAAAGAGCAGCTTTATTGATCATGACTGAAGGCTCAATATTGCAGGAAATGAGAACTTCAGGTGTTAATTCAATGAAAATCTCCCGCTGTGATTCCTATCACATTCTCCGTAAAGATAACGCCCCATAGGCTGCAGACAGACAGACAGACAGACAGACAGACAGAGTCTCA